CTTCCTCTAGCATTGGTTCCCACTGTGGAAGGGTAAGTAACTTTAATCTAATGTTATTTGCTATATTTGTGACAGGTTGCTCCTGCTCCATGAACATTGATTTAAAATATTTTTCCAAGGTTTTGGATGGTATACAACAATCCAGAACAGAAGGAGCAGTGAAAGCCCTGGAAATGAATTTCCGAAAGGTTTTGGAGTCAGAGAAGCATTTATTAATAATGACCAGGCATCTCTCTCTCCTTTCTGTTTCTCCTGGTGTAATAGTATCTTATAATTTTTCTTCAACTCATAATATCTTAAAAAGGGCTGTTGTAAATTGGACTTTCTGTATACTAAATATAGAGCTCTCTTCTATTATAATAAATTATATTATTTTAATATATAAATTATAATGTAATTTTAATATAAGTATAAATTATTTAATTATAAATTATATTATATTATTATAATTATATTATAAATTATAAAAGATCTTTCTATTAGCGGTGACATAATCAGCATCAAACCAACTAGAAGTGATACTCAGTAGAGTATTTCTTTGATTTGATGTAGTGGATGCTCCAGATTCTAGAGTTATACTGATCAGGTTTGTTAGAATATTATAAGAAATGATTTTTTCTGTAGAACTCCCATCTTTTATTATACATGATCTAAAATCTACAGCTTGAGTAGAGTTTAAAACCATAGCTAAATAATTATTTAGATGTTCTGCCCAAGAAATCCTGCAGTATAAATTGCCTTCCTGAAGAACCTCCGGGGAATAATATTGGGTTAGACAAATATCTTTATCATTGGTTAACAAACTTAAAACAATAGGTTGATGATCACTATCTGATCTGAAACTGATATTAAATAATCTGACCAAGGGAAATAAATTGGTCGATGTTAAACAATAATCTATCACGCTTGCTCCCCATCCACAAGGTAAATGTGAATTCACCAAGATAATCATGTGCCATTGAACCATTTAAAATTATTAAATTTAACTTATTGCAAAGACTGGCTAAACAAGATCCTACATAGTTACCGTATTTTTCCGACTATAAGACGATATTTTTTTCTAAAATCCTTACCCTACAAACTGAAGGGCGTCTTATTCAAGGAAGTCAGCCGAGAATCGTGCGGTTCCAAACTGCCCA